ACCTGGCTACATCTGACTACGAGGATAGCCTAGTGGTTTAAGTGGTCACCTCGTCGCTTTCTACTGCGCTGATTGTTGTGGGTTTGATCCCCATACGTGTGATCCACAAATTGGTATTCTGAGTCAGGGAGTATTTGAATCCGTTTCATGTATGTCTGTAAAGTCTTCAGCGACATAACATATATTCCTAGTGTGGTAGTTGGTTTTAAAAATATAATATTATCGCCGAAAAGTGGCATGTTAAAAACCCATAATTTGACAACTACAATTTTAGTCCCACTTAAGACTATGGCCACCACCTGGTTAAGGGATTATGAAGAAAGAATGGGAAAGAAAAGGGAATGGTTATAACTTACAATCAGGTCTAGTGGCAATCGCCCGTGAAGATAAAGGGTGTACATGTATAGCCTCTGGTAACTCCACTCACTGGGTGACACACATACTCAAAGGAATTCCTTTGATTATGTGTGTCACCCAGTGAGTGGAGTTACCAGAGGCTCTACCGAAATCCAATGCTAAGCAATTGCTTAGCATTGGATTTCGGTTTTGAAGTTCTGCTGCCCCACGAAAAAGAGTAGTTTAAACATTATTAGGTGACCCGTCTGCTCGTTTGCCCATCTTTGCCATTGAAAAACCCTTAGTCTTTTTTTGCATGAAAAGTTCTATGTCCTTTTGCTTCACCCATGACAACATATATTTTAATATCGATAAGCTTTCGAATATCGACAGTTACTTATATGTCTCTTACGTCGAAGTGTTCTTGGGCGGCGGTAATTACTTATCATCTGGCGACTCCTTTCTTGTTTGCTCTTCATACCATAGAAATAATTTTGTATATTCCGTTACAATTCTGTACGCGCTGAATTTAATCTATATACATATGTCGCAATTACGTCATATCCGAAACGCCAGCGCCACCTGTCGGCGCTTGACGGAGTCAATGTTTAAAGGCCGAATGGCGCACATGAACACTTGTTATGTAGCAGTCGGACAGAGCGGTAGCATATTGAAACCGTCACGCATTCCTGGTGATATACGTTTAGCTATAGTCGTGTGTCTATTTGTAATAATCTACATTGTGAAATCATTGGACATTATAATTTAAGCAAGTGAACTAAATTGTTTCGTTGCGCCAACATTACCCATCGACGTCCGCAGTTAGTAAGTGAGGAACTATGGGCCCTATTGTAGATAATGATCGTACTACCCCGTCACAGATATAAAAATGTTATGTTGGTTGCTGTAAGCTTCATAGGCAGGCTTGACTGGCCTGTTGGTCTAGTGGTTCGTGACCTTGACTGCTACACCAGAGGTCATGGGTTCGATTCCCACCCAGGACAAATAATTGTGTGATGAGCAACGTCATTTGTTCTGTGTCTGGGTGTACTTTATCTATAATATATATGTATTTAGAAATATATAAGTATATTTATTAGCAGTCTGGTTACCATAGTACAGGTACTGTCTAGTTTGGGATCAGACGGCCGTGTGTAAAATGTGTGAAACTATTATATAAAAAAGCCCCCAAAAATTTCTTCACCGATTGAGGCATAATTTTGACACGATATGCAACATGCTTCAGAGATGGGCTTTTATATATTTTTGCAACCAAAATGTGCCACAGCGAATCGGGACACTCATCACAAGAATTATAACGAAAATGCAACTTTGAGTGAAGGCTTGACCGATCGACTTCATTTTTAAAATAGAGCTGTATACGGATTAACAATTGCATCCTGCTCCTATGGTTGCCAGGAAAAAATACATTTAGCAATAGCGTTGACCTTCGTACATAACAGTAACACACTTAAGTATCGGTTACTGTAATAATGGTTCAAAGACAAAATGATAGCTACGTATCTATCTCATTACGTCCTTTATATCTTTTTGATAGAAATAAAACATTATATATATATTTTCTTTTTATGTATTTAAAAAAAAAGTATATATGTATTTATATCAGTTATCTAGTACCCATAGTACAAGCTCTGCTTAGTTTGGGTCTAGATGGCGTTGTGTGAATGTGGTACAATATTATGTTAGAGGGGGCAGAAGAGCAGATGGGTCACCTGATGGAAAGTGACCATCGCCGCCCATAAACGTCCGCAACTCAGGAGTCACAAACACGTTGTCGGCCTTTGGAAGGAGTACGCTCTTTTCTTGAAGGTTTGAAGGTCGTATCGGTCCGAAAATACCGCAGACGATAACCCGTTCCACAGATTGGTTGTGTGGAGCAAAAAGTGTCTCGAAAAGCGCACAGTAGTGGAGCGCCAACTATCCAGGTAATTTTGCCGTGTGTTTTTTTTTATTATTATAACGATATTTTTTTGTTATCCTCATTGTCATTTGTTTCTATTGATTTGAAATGATAAGGAAATACTATACCGTACTATATGACCGCTGGCTGAGGTAATCTCTTATAACAGTATCATAAAGTGACATGACTAATATAGATAAGTGTTATCGATAGCAAACCGTTATCCTATACTAGCTGACCCGCGCAACTTCGTCTGCGTCTCTCAATAGTAATAAATTTTCTCCGTTTTTGAAACATTCTTCTTTCTTGCTCCGCTCCTATTGGTCTTAGCGTGATGATATATAGCCTATAGCCTTCCTCGATAAATAGGCTATCTAACACTGAAAGAATTTTTCAAATCGGACCAGTAGTTCCTGAGATTAGCGCGTTCAAACAAACAAACAAACAAACAAACTCTTCAGCTTTATAATATTATTAGTAATTAGTATGAGTATAGATGACCAATTTTATTCTAAAATTTGGAAATCAATTTACTATGCTATGCAGACAAATCATGCTTTTAAAAAGGGTTCACAGGATGAAATATCAATGAATATAGAAGAAACAGACTTGTCAATTTACTTGCCTTTTAAGTGAACCTACTGACTGCTGAGCCAGAGATAAATAATAAATGGTTGTATATTCAGAAATATATCTTTAGTATGTCTTATAGTATGTTTATCAGCAAGCTATTCACTTCTCTAATTTATGTATTTACTTCTCTAATTTATGTATACCTATCACCATTTCAAAATGAATCCATCCAAAGGTTGCCTGGAAGAAATTGCACTAAGCGATAAGGCCGCCCTTTGTACATTACATCGGTCGTTAATTACTGTATAATGTGTGTAAAACATTGGTGTACAAATAAAGTATTTATCTATCTATCTATTCTTGAAGTTTCCTTGAAAGATATAATTCATAATTAGGTCATGCGATAAATATGTAAAGTTACCTATTTAGCTTGAAGAATAAGCATGCCGAAAGACCGTTATCTGTTGGAACAAACGGATCCTAGGGTGGAGACCGCGAATTGAAAAATAGAAGGTATGACGCGCTACAGTGAGATAGACTTAATCACTGAAGAAGGTAGTTGGGATGCTGGATGCGGAAGCTTGCAGACACTGTAGTACATGGTAACACACATGATATTATGGATCATATTCCATTCCAGCAGTACACTGCGGTAGATTCATTACTTGATTCATATTTATCATGTTATATAATTAATTATATCTTTAGGAAATGTTACATAATTAATTACATCGTTATTGCGGTAGTTTTATCCAATCATGGATAACCCTTCGGCTGTGGAAAGCAACAAGCTTCATATTAAAGATAAAAAATTACTTATTTACTGCAATTTTCTGTTATTGCCAATGCTGGAAAGATATTTTTGAAAATTAAAACTATTAGTATACCATTGTTGTTCCATTTACAACAGATTTGATGAAAAACTACATATTTCAGCCAAATTCATGTACAATATAACTTTTAATATTAGGTCTTTATCCATGAAGTTGGTGATTTTTGAAACCAGAAACCAGATTTTTAAATTAAATTATATGTGGATTTGCTAGCAATTCGAAATTAAATTAGTAATATTATTCAATTACTGACGAAAATGGACAGAGTTCGCAACGAATATATCGATGGCACTTTAGAGGTGGCTTCTATAGAGAGCAAGTTAACGGAAAGGAGATTGAGGTGTTACGGATTTGTCATGAGGTCATGGCAAGGTCAGAGCAGCATGTGATGAGAATAGCTTTAAGCCTACCAGAAGCCAGAAGAGGCCGAGGACGACCTCCTTTGACATGGTGCACTAGAATGACGAAGCTTCTAAAGAAGGAGAATTCATCCGATCCGACACCTTTGACAGAATATCTTGACGCCGTAGAATAAGGAAAGCCGACCCTACCTTAAATGAGAAAAGGCTAGGAAGAAATTTATGTCATAACGTAACCTTTGAAATGTTAGTAAACACAGAAAGAACATGATCGAACGCATTTTTGAAGACATAATAGGAACAAACGAACAGGCCTATCACCTGACGATGAGTGACTTTTTACTACTAACACCTGCAATGGGTTATTTTAATGCATATTTTACTAAAAACACTTCTAAGTACCTAGTATTTAAGACTTATTTATAGTTTATGCCGTAAAAAGCACTGAAAATTAAAATGAAAACCATAAGGTTTTTAATTAATACTGAAGATAGCCTGGTGGTTGAAGTTTTTGATTTAAATCAATCATTATAAGTCATGAAGAAGAAGAAAAACTTGACACAAACCCTATACCAACCCGTCTGGCCAGCGTGGTATAGTAGGCCAAAACCTCCTTTCTAAGGAGAGGCCTATGTCCAGCAGTGGACTATTAAAGGCTGTTGATGTGATGTGTGATGTGATTATAAGTCATTGTAGCTTTCCGTACAATGACAGTATTCGTTTCGTATATTATTCAAAAATTATTATCTTCAACAGCCTTTGATAGTCCACTGCTGGAGATAGGCCTCTACTTAGAAAGAAGTTTGGCCGTGAGATTGTAATTACATAACTAAAATTCATTTACATTACTGCTCTACCACGTTTTGCGTCAGCTTACGTGAGTTTTGCAATAAATATATACACTGAATTTACATTGTTTACAAAATTAAACAACATCGTATTAAATTTGTATTAGTGACTGCATAATTAAAGAACCATTTATTCTGTAAAATCATTTGGTTTATTCTTCTTACGATATTTATCATAAATGTTTTTCCACAGATGATAAGCTTCAAGATTAGGAAACGACCCCATTTTCAAGTTATCTTCTATGTATAAAAATCTCGTAGATTCCTTAGTACTGGCCTCCCATTTTATTGGCAAGTCACCGTTAGGAGTGGGCTCACTAAAAACAAATACAAAATGAGAAAATATGCTAAAAATGATGAAATAGTCAATTTAAAATATATTATTCTTACCCATATTTGGCAAAGTTCGTCCATAGTTTACTCATCAAATTTACTACTGCTTGATCTTTTTCATTGATAGGGAATGGCCAGATTATCCCTTTAAATAAATACATAAGTTCATCACCGTGAATAGCACCTTTTTCAGTGTTAAATCCAAATAGACCAACTATAGATTTTAGTATATTTCTTCCCCCAGCATAATTAAAATAATAATTGTAAACTTTAGCTTTTGAATTATTTGCTAACGTTTGTGATTCTAAAATAGCTGGTACTTCAAAATATAACTCTGTATTCAGATCAGCAACGATATCGTGGACATCAAAACTCACTTTCTTATTACCAAAATAATATTCTCTTGCTATTTGAGATACATTCGCGGCTTCCTCTTCTGACGGGAATTGAAGGTCAGATGCAAACATATACCTCGCATCTCTCGCAGCTAAAGATTCTTTGGTATCATCGGGCAACAAGAATATTCCTTCTTTGCTAGTCGTTCCATAAATGACTGGTATATTCTTTATTGGATTATTTTCAAATATATTAAACGGAAAATCGGTAATCACAGCATCTTCTCCTTCAATTTTTTGTTCGACACATGGATAATGAAGCATCTGTGTATCGAAATACATCCCAAGTGGTTTTCTAGGTTTGGATTTGATAAGACTTTGGTAAGAGGTCTTAGATAATATTTGGTAAAGTTCTTCGGGGTTTTTAGTATCGTACCCAAGATCTTTTGCTATGAGGCTAGCAACCCAAAGAGGTTGCCTATTTATGGCCCAACTGGAAGTTGAAGTACCACTTTGTATTATAGCTTTATGAAATAAGCCGTCTGTAGTTTCACTAGCTAAAAGTAAAGATGCTGATGTTGCGCCAGCGCTTTGCCCAAAAATGGTAATATTATTAGGGTCACCACCGAAAGCTGCAATATTCTTCTTAATCCATTTCAATGCAGCTATTTGATCTTTAATACCAGCATTTCCTGGAGCTTCTTTTATACCTAAACATAGAAATCCTAATGCTCCTAGTCTATAATTAAATGTAACTAATATAACGTCATGTTTAATTAAAAAATCCGGTGCATAGAGCAATTTTCCTCCATTACCTATTGTAAATCCGCCACCATGGATGTATACCATCACTGGAAGAGGTTTTTTAGTCTTGGCTGGTACATAGACATTAATTTTCAAACAATCTTCGCTCCCAACTACGCCGAACACTGGACTCAATTGCGGACATTGATATATTTCATCAACCGCTTTGTAAATGCCTTGCCAGGATGGAGGTGGAAGCGGTGCCTATGAACAAAAAAAAGGTTAGTTATAACCAACTTCATATCATTTTAATGGAAAGGTAATGCTTATCATAACTAGTCTCGAAAATTCACAAGAAAAATATTTAGACCTGCATATTGTTATAAGATATTAACATCAATTACTAAATACATTTACTAACACTTTTCAAAATGGTATATGTTGGTTTATTTGTACTATTTGATGTTCGGCTCAACGGTCAACTCAAAACGAGCAGCAGTCCGCTATCAGCTGATTAAGAGTGACTCGGCAGAAACGTTCGCGACGTCGCGTGTAAACTCTGCCTATTTACTGATTCCTTCCCAATTCATGTCAATTTTTTGACGTGACGACGTCTTATAATTCGATGGAGCCGGCTGCATGCACGAAAAAACATGACTCATGCGGCGTTACCTCGCTCTGAGGCGTTCCATTTAAGGCGTGAAGTGCAAGCGAGAGCGCGGAACGAGCGACAAAGAGGCACAATCGGCCTCCGCGTTCGGCAGCGTACGACATCTGTCTCTCTCCTACTTGAGTGAGCGATGCGTCCGCGTGGACAGCTGCTACTCGTATACAATAATACATTTTTGAAAAATGCAACCATTCCATCAGTATTTTCTTATGACGTTGTCACGTTCAACTATTGTCAGTAAACCGACTTTACAGACAACCGATTTTTTTCTTAAAGAGGAAACCATTTGATATTTTTGGGAAAGATAACTATTTGTAATAATTGCACGCTTGCTTGATCCTCAATGCAGCAAAAATTGGCGACTTATCGAGCATACAGTCATATGCTCATCATAAGTTAGGTGTCAGTGATGGCATGAAATTCTCTTGAACGTTTATCCACTCGTATTACTATTTTAATTTTAGTTGTATAGAAAACTGACCCTAATTTTGCGTTTTTTTTCTTAAATAATTTTCACTGCTTGACGTTCGCTAACTTAATATAAAAGTATAATATTCTAAAGACATACTTTCCTATAAACGGATATAGATTATGGGGTCTATGTATATAGCTTAGTTCACTCGAAATATCTTAAAAATAATATTTATAAAAAAAGTCCAAAGAAAAAGCTGACGTTTTTCGCCTTAATATTCAATTTCATTTTATTTTAACCGACTTGATTTAATTCTTCGTGATAAATCGCTCTAAATAAATGTTATTTCGCTATTTTATTTGTTTGTATTTTATAAATATTAAGTCAGTTAAGTACCGGCAGATAAATATTGTAATACTCATTACTCTGTTTAACTTTAACTGTGTCACATCACTACCTAATTCTTCAACAAAATTGTGTACAAAAGATTTCCCTTTTTCATCATGTCTCAAGTCTGAAACTCACCATTAAATTACTCGAAGTTACTCATGTAACGTTAATGAACACTCGGGAAGGATGTTTGAAAATTTCATCATAAAGAGAGGTTGTGAAAGTTAATATGCAAACCCATCTTATTACCTAATACACTTACAATACAATTTTAATAGATTATCGGAAAGTCTTCTACTTAATTATTACTGAAATTCTAACGTAATAAAATAAAAACAATATTTTAAACAATATTTTTTTTATCATCTTCAAGTATGTAACTACATAGGTATTGAAACTGAGTTACTGAAACAATCTATTTTCAAATTACAAATATACCTATATTTTTGCCGTTAAAATTATTTTTACTTAATAGTATAGCACCTATATACCCTCGGTTACATTGTTAATCATTCTGAAATACTTATTCTATATACCTATATATTAATAATAAGCACACATTTAAACATCGTGGATGAGTTAAATAGTTAACTTAATTACGTTCTTAAAAGTTTAATCTTATCTAAACTCACCTTGAATCGCAAACTACTGTTAGTAGTAGCGTATGGTATTCCCAAGTATTCAAAAAACGACCCATCCCCGCTGATTTTACCGCTTAAAATCCCTTGCTCGATTTTAACTTGAGGTGCTGGCTGGTCTACCAAGTTCATGGCAAATAACGAAAATAACACTATTCTTTTCCCATACTTCATGTTTTCACTCACTTCAGACTCTATTCCAATAAGCAAAAAGTCTATAATACCTTCTTGAGGTTTGTGCAATCTTCTTTGAGGTTAGGTTATGTATTTGTAGGAAAACTTATATAATATTACATTATGACTATCACTTAACAACACAATAACTTGTAACTAACCTACTAGACACCATTTTACGTTTGATAAAACATTTCTTAGAGATTTACGTATGTATGAAGTATCGTACACAGTATCAGTAGATACTGTTTATAGTATTTGACAGACCGGCGCTGACCTTGCACAAGCATTGCGCAAGCGCTGTGCTCGTCACCACGTATGTCGTCAATCCGTATGTAAGAGGGAGACAGAAGTAGTCGTAAGTAGTCAACTCATAGAGCGTATTTAAGTGTGAGTAGTAATTTTTGTTTGATTTTCAAACCGAAATCGATAATTTGTATAAAGTGTGAGGGTTTTATTAAACCCTTGTCTCAAAATCATTGTTTAGTATTAGTTGTCTGATCATTATATCGTATGTAGAAATATATAATTTACTTTTATTACGACTTTTTGGCATAAAATTCCGTTTAACAAGAAAATACAATACGTTTTAATATTATTTAACGGGAATTAACGCGATCTCTTATTTAGGGTATTACATACCTCTGGTTTGCCTAAGAGATCGCGTTAATTCCCGTTAAATAATATTAATTATCATGGAACGCGAAAGTTTAAAAGTTAGTACAATACGTTTTGTTTTTCTCGCATTTTTTTGGAAGTTGTTTTTTTTTATGTTTTTTAGTTATTTCGAAGATTCATTCTTTGGTCAGGTTCGGAAAACTCACTGTTTGTATAACCTACTGGTGGAAGAACCTACTAGTGTAAAACTAACAAATAAAAGTCAGTGACATTTTTTTTCAATGTTTTGTTAACATAAAAAAAAAAATTGTATTGTCACGATGAATTGTAACTTAATAAATAAATAAATAAATAAAAAAGCCTTTTATTTCCTACTATTTACCTACTTTACATTGTTTGTTACTTATCTAATTTGATTACTTAATTAACTTCACTTAGCTAGTTTTTCTTTGATGGATTTTGCTTAAATTAATATTTTATATTTATATATAATACGCTTAACTAGTGTGTTTACGTTTCTAATTTACTTATTTATTTAACTTATTTAGAATAACATGGTATTGTAGCCTAACATAATTTATTTTATAGCAGTATCTGCAGGAACCCCATATTGGGTAAAGGCCTCCTCCAAAGATGCCCATTTGTCTCTGTCCTGTGCGGTCTGTTTCCAGTTTTGGCCGGCTGTCCTTGCAATCTCTTCGTCCCAACGTGACAACGGTCTTCCTCTGCTCCTTTTACCTGGAGGACCTTTCCAGAATGTCACTTTTTGGGTCCATCTCTGATCTTTGAGTCTAGCGACATGACCCGCCCATTTCCACTTTAGTTTTTGTGCATAAATCAATGCATTTGTTGCTTTGGTTATTGAACTTATTTTTGTATGTCGTATTCTATATATTTTTCTTATTTGAAGCATGCTGCGCTCTAGTCCTCGTTGGCAAGTTGTAATTTTATTTTTCAGTTTTGAGGTGAATTTCCACGTCTGGCATCCATACGTCAAACATGGTAAGAGGCTGGAGTTCATAACTTTCGTTTTGATGGTTACAGGGAGGTTACTTTTAAAGATTTCCTTTAAACTCCAGTATCTTTTCCATGTCTGTTGTATTCTTCTTTCGACTTCAAGCTCGTTATTTTTTCTGTCAAAACTGATTTGCTTCCCAAGATAGATGTACTTGTCTGTATATTTTAGTGGCTCTCCATTTATTGTTATTAATCTTCTCACCTTGTTCGTCATTGCCATAGTTTTAGTGAGATGCATTTGTAATCCCACCTTGACACTAACTAGATGTAAAGTTTCGATCATGAGCTGTAACTGGGTGCTGGACTCCGACAACAACACTAGGTCGTCTGCGAATCTTAAGTGGCTTAAATATTCGCCCTTTATACACAGTCCTGTCTTGCTCCAATCCAGCTTGCTCATTATAGCCTCCAGTATGGCTATAAATATTTTTGGGGATAACGGGTCGCCCTGCCTTACACCTCTTTCTATAGGAAAACTAGGTCCGAGGGTTTCTAGCTTGATTTTACCCTTGTTGTTGTTATATATGCTTTTGATGGCCTTTATATATACGTCTTCTACTCCCTGTTGTTTTAAGCTTTCCCATATACTTATGTGTGTTACCGTATCAAAAGCTTTTTGATAATCAATAAACGCTATGTATAGTGGTCTCTGTTGTTCTTGATACTTTTCTATAATTAGTTCAAGTGTGTGTATATGGTCAACAGTAGAGAATCCTTTTCTGAAGCCTGCTTGCTCTACCGGTTGTTTTGCTTCCAGTGTACTACTGATTCTTTTATTTATAATGGTAGAGAAAAGTTTGTAGAGGCTTGGTAACAAGCTTATCGGTCTGTAGTTGCCAATATCCTTCGGATTTCCCTTTTTGTAAAGAAGTATGATATTTGATTCAGACCATTGCAAGGGTGTTTCAGAATGTTGCAGGATTAAATTAAACAGTTCCGCTAATGGTTCGGCTAATGTTGTGTGCGCTGCTTTCAACAATTCATTTGTGATGTTGTCGGAGCCAGGGCTCTTTCCTAATTTCAAACTCTTAATTGTTTCTATGATTTCAATTTCGTCGACTGGTTTAATTGTGGGTTCATTTACGTTTTCATTGATAGTAGTTGAGATGTTAGTCTTTTGGGTCTTGTCGCTATACAATTTCTTATAAAAGTCTGATGCCGCCTTAATAATGTCAGTTCGTTTGCACAAAGATCTGTCTTGTTTATCTAGCCCCTCTATCCAAGTCTTGCTTGTTCTGAGCTCCTTGAAAGCTCTTTTTGTGCTTCCTGTGCGTTGTAAATGCCTTTCTATTATTTCTTGTCTATATGTAGCATAATCCCTTTTTATGTATTTATTTGTTATTTTGTAGAGAGCGGAGAGTTCGTTTTTTATAGATAGAGTTTTATTTTTTGTTTCTTGTAGTTCTTTTCTCCTTTTTAATAACATAGCTGTGCGATCTGATAATATTTTGTGATGTTTTTGTGTATTACTCACCTCTTCTCTAGCTTTTTTCAAGCTCTGGCTGATAGCGTCCGTTATTTTATCGTAGTAGGTTTGTACCGAGGTATTTTGCAAGTTGATGGTTGGGTAGAGTAGCATTGACCTTAGGTTTTTATTATAACTTGTTACTTCTTTCTCGTTATTTAGTTGGAATCCTTTTTTATTTGTGAATTTAAGTCTGCTTTGTTTCTGTTTAGTAATTTTTACTGATGCTCTAATTAGTCTATGGTCTGATGGATAGTTTAAATTCATGACTTCAAAGTTTAGGAATATTTTTTGTTGGTTGGATAGAATATAGTCAATCTCATTTTTGTGTTTTCCATTTGGGGATCGCCAAGTCCATCTTCGGTTGTGGTTTTTCTTGAAGCATGTGTTGATGATGGTTAGATTATGTTCTAGTGCGTAGTCAACAAGTCTTTGCCCTCTGTCGTTTCTTTCGCCGTATCCATGCTGTTGCACTGTTAAGTACTCACCTTCTCTGGGAGCACCAACCTTCGCATTAAAGTCTCCCATTAATATAATGTTTTTATATGTTGTTTCCATCGCCTTATCTATGGTCTTATAGAATTCTTCTATTTCTTCCTCGCTCGCTGCGTCGGTCGGTGCATATACTTGTATAATGGATATCATACACCCTTGAAAGCTTAAGTTTAGCGTTGCCACACGATCTGTTAATCCAATAAAGCTCTCGATGTTTTTTTTTAGGGACTTATTTATAATGAAGCCCACTCCATATTTACCCGGTATACATCCTATGTGGCAAAGTATTAGGTTCTCGTATTCCTCGATTTTGTTACCAATTCGTCTCATTTCTGAAATACCTATTACGTCGTAATTAATTTCCTGTATTGCTTCTTCTAATTCCAGTAAGCGTTCGTAAGACGATAGGGTCCTCACATTGTAAGTTGCGATTTTTAATTGGGTTAATGGTTTATTTTTCCTGATTTCTGTCTGTGAAGTTTCTTTTGGAGGGTTGTGGTCATAATCTTCCACGGTGACCAGCCGGGTTGGAAGATGTTTCATGTTTCTGGTTTCATTTGTTTTATTTTTGTTTAGATTTATGTAGGAGGAGGGGCTTAATTGCTATATATTTGTATCGTTTGTATCCTGGGTGTTATTTGTCTTAGTTGTATTTTTATTTACTAAAAAATTTAGGATGCCAGGTTTTATTTTTACTCCTTCTGAAATGCTATTTGATCTCTGAGCTTTCGAGCCTTGTTGCTGTAGCTTGTTTTTTTTATTGACTTGAGTGGTTTTATCTTGTTTTGGTACGGTGCTGTTTTCGGGTGATAAAGAAAGTTTTCTTTTATTCATGCTCTCGGTGATGATCAGTTTGTCGTATTTAATTGTGGCTATGTTTCCCTTTTCTCTTTCTACTTTTAACTGTTCTTTTAATTCTTTTCTCTTTTCTAGCACATGTTTTGGATAGTCTGTTTGGATGTAATATGAAGTATCTTTCAGTATCTGTTTTTGCTTAAGAATTTTAATTTTTATTCCTAGCGTTGAAAAGGTCACAACTATTGGTCGTGGTCTGTCACCCTTCTTTCCTAGTCTTCTTGCTTCTTGTATATCTAAGTAGTTTAATTTAATAGAGAAGTATTGGTCTATCCATTTGATAATGTTGTTTTCTAGGTTTTTATATGATGATTCTGTTTCTTCGATACCGAAAAAAACCACATTTCTCTGCCTTACCTGTTTTTCCATGAAGTGAATTCTTTTCTCCTGGTTTTCCACCAATTCTTTTAATTTTTCGTGATTTACTTCCCATGTAGAAAATTTTTCTTCTAACATAATATTAATATTCCGCGTAACTTGTTCGGTCACTTTTTCTCCATTTTCCCGG